GGGAGGGCCTATTTGTTCTTTTAACTATCCTTTGTCCTCTATGAGGTAGGGACAATGTTTATTCATCTATATCAGGGGTGGGGAACCTGTGGCCTTGGGACCACATGTGGCCTTCTGGATCCTTGAATGCAGCCTCTTGACTGAATCCAAATTTTGCAGAACAAATCCTTTTAATTAAGGGATTTGTTCTGTGAAGTTTGGATTTGGTCGAGGGGATACACAGATTCTATGTATTTCCAAGGCCTAGCCTCTATAGAGAGCTCTTCTTTAGCAGAGATGAAAGCCGTACTGAAGGGACATAAACATGGCAGACACTTTGAGAAATCACTTTTCAGTCTCCCCACACCTCAGGAAAGACAGGGGAGTGCCTAGCCTTCCTGAGATTCAGAAGGTCAGCTTCTATAACCACAAGCCACCAGGGAAAGTCACTTCTGCTCCTTGGGTCTGTTTCTTCCTTGGAATTGAGTCAGCTAGACTAGATGTTCTTTAAAACTCCTTCAAGTTTTAAAAGCCTATGGTTCGAATACACATTTATATAATAAATTAATCAGTACATATTCCCCCTTGAATCCACCTGATTTCACCTGTATTGCCTACTAATTCACTGTAGTTCAATTTCAGGCTTCTAAAATTTCTTAAAGTGGTACTAAAAGTACCAATTTCTGGTCCAAGAACAATGACAGGAAAACTACAATCTACTGACCCAAGAACCAGAAAATAGTAATAGCAATTTTTAAAAGGTGGGATCAGCCTACAATATATTTTGATGCACCACACCTTATTAAATGCATTATTTGCATACAGAGATCTATAAAAAGATATTTATATCTATATAGACATCTATAAAGATGTATATCTATACATAAAATTGTCCATTGTAAAAGGCAAGTTATCAATTGTTAAAAAAATATTGATCGGATCTTACTGGCTTCAGCTTACTTTAATTACCACTTAAATGATTTAAGTAGCTTACACTTAACTATCCTTATACAAAGAATGAATGTGTCTAATGAGAAAGGTTAGACTGGTAAATTGATAAACTTTCAGATTAATTTTGACTACGTAAAATTTTTTTGAGTAAATCAAGAGAAATTAATCTTTCTCTCATCAGATCGTCAAAGTCTAATTCCTTAAATAACCTATACTAGTAAAGTCCTGTTTATCTATTGGTCTTCAAATAGGTGATTGAAGAGCTAAATAGGTAAACGATGAAACTAACGTTAAGTCTTCCCCAAACTACAAAAATGATGAAGATAACAGCAAGGAGCAAAAGTCGTGCTAGTAGACTTAATTCATTCTGTAATTCTAACGGAATCTTTGCACATCTGCGGAATAGCAAATGGCATTACGTTGCTAAGTCTTTTCGCACTTATTCATGCTTCAATGCATGCAGTTTCTGGGACTTGTCTGGCCAACGACCGGTTTCCCAACGGTTCTGGGAACAAGAGTGCGGATGGGTGGCGAGGACCACGGGTCCCCAGCCATCTGCTCTCCCCTGGGACCCCGCTCACCTCGCTCCTTAAAGAAGGACGGTGTCAACTGTCTTTCTGGACCAGGCGCCCTCGGGCCGCAAGGGGCGAGGAGTGAGCGCCGCGCCACACCTCACACTCCCAGCGCGGAGCTGGGTGGGCGACGCCGAGCGCCCGGTCGCACGCAGCCTCCGCGCGGAACCTGGTGGCCCTACAGTACGCAAAGATGAGCCGCGTTGTGCTCGGGGGCCGGGAGCCCAGCGGAGAGGAGAGAGGCCGAGCTCACCAAAGGGTTACCCGCCGCAGAGCGCGGGAGCTGGCACCCGATGGGACTGATCGCCGGGGACGCTCGTGCTGCCTGACCCGAGCTGCAGCAGCTGACCCTTGAGGGTCTGTGGCCGTGGCGCACAGACCCGGGGAGAAGGGCGGCCTCCAAGGACAGGGAGCCTCGCGAGGGCGCGGCCAGCGAGGAGGGGCAGAAGGCGGCGCCCCCGGCCGCCGAGGCGCGGAGGACAGGCAGCCGCCGCCAGGGCCCGCAAAGTTGCTCCCAACCGCGCTGGGATCCAACTTTCGCTTCCCAATATAGCCAAGGCAGCGCGCGCGGAGAGCCGGCGGCAGCTGCGCCTCCTGCTCCTTACCTGGCTTGTCCCGGGCAGGGAGCCTGGACGCCGCTGGCCAAAGTTTGGGGCGGCAGCGACGACGCGCGGGACGCGGATGCAGCTGCTCGACGTGAGCCCGATCGCGCTAGCCTCGGCAGGTCCGCGGGTCCGGAAGCTCTGAGCCCAGGGCCGGGTCCCCGCGCCCGCAGCGGCTTTGACTAAAATAGGCATCGCGGCGGCGGCAGCTGGGGCTGGGGCCGCACCGCGCACGCGCCCGCCGCCCAGGCGCCCCCCGGCGGGCGGAGCCCCGCGCTTCGGCCAGGACTCCCCGCGCCAGCTCCTCAGACGCTGCGTCCCGGCCGCACACCAGTGAGAGCAGTTTGAAACGCCCGCTTATTTCTTTTCTTGTTTCGCTCTACTTTTGGCTTCTGTCTTTGTTTGGGCTTGAGTGGGGTCAGCAGCATCTTGAGACAAGCGGCGTTAGTCGCTCATCCCCTCAGGGATAATTTGAGAAGTAGGGGTCCCGGTTAGGGAGAGAAATCAAGATAGGCAGTGAGAACTAGAATCTTCATTTCACCTCAAAATTGAACGACCGACTCGCATAACTCCTTATTTAGAGACTCGCCCATACCTCAGCAGGGAATAGCCCCCGAGAGCGCGCGACTTAGCGTCTGAGTATGGCGGCGGAGGCCGGACATTTGGTGCACATGGATGCGGGCCACAGCCGTCTGGGGCGCGGCGAGGGGCCAGCCCTGGTGCTGCTGCTGCGGCTGTGGAGGCCACGTGGGAGAGACTTTTGACACAGGCCACTGTTTGTGTTTTCGAGGAAGAGTGCTTATCCAAAACTCTTGGTCCCGCGCAATGCAGGGCCCTCCACTGTAGGCAAAGCACCACCTGAAGTTTGCCTTGTAGATTTGAGACTCTAAATTGTAAAACAAGATATGAAAGTATGCTCCAATCAATCCTTATTGTTAACTGGACAACTATTTTGGGTAAGAAATTTAGGGAAAATTAATGAAGAGTTGGCATTGAGGGGTGTGTGCTGTAGTACACAAGAAAAAGGTTAGATGGATATACACAGTTTCCACCAGAAGTGTACCATTTGGGGATAGAATTTGCATCGGTTATTAGAGTATGAGGTCGTTCATGTGGGCCAAACGTGACCTAAATATAAAAACACTACTATTGATTGTGTGAAGGTACATTATAGTGTGCATTCCAGTTCACGCTGGCCAGGTCTCTCTAGTGAAGAGGCGATGCAGCCGGGTGTTCAGGAACATGGGCCATGGTGCTGCACAAACCGTATTTGAATCCTACCTCTGCTGTCAGCTTACCGTGTGACCTTGGAGAAGTTACTTAGCCTTTCTGTGCTTCAGTTTCCATTTTGTAACATGGGGATGATGATGATGATAATTGCACCTGTATCTCATAGGATTGTTTTGAAGACTAAATGGTGAAATATATATAAATATAAAGGGCTTAAAATGGTGTTTGGGACATAAATTCTATGTATAAGAATATATATTTATGAAGCTCCTCTAACATGTCTGAAATTTGCTGTAACTGCACAGGATTAGTTTTCAAAGCGACTTCTTCAGCGTCTGTTTCTTTCTAGATGCTCTGCCAGCCATTTTTGTAGCTACTACTAAATACCTTTTAAGAGATGGCTATAATAAACATGTGCATAAAGATTTCACTATGTGGATGGTTCACTGGAGGGTAACTTAAGATAGTGAATACTGGAAATAACTTAAATTCTAATCATGGGGTATTAAATAAATTATAGACTATCCAAACAATCTTGCTCTAAGCAGCCATTAAAAATAATTTATAGAAAGATATTATAGATATAATAATGTCTACTAGTTATATACAGCAAAGGTCAGCAATCTACAGCCCAAAGGCCCAGTCCACTGCCTATTTTTGAATACCCCACAAACTAAAATGGTTTTTATGTTTTTTTAATGGTCCAAAAATATCCAAAAAAGAATATTTCATAATCTGTAAAAATTATATAACAGTCAGATTCAGTGTCCATAAAGTTTTATTAGAACTCAATCATGCTCTCTTTTATGGCTGCTTTTGTGCTACAAAGGTGGCATTGAGTAGTTGCAACAGAAACCATATGGCCCACAAAGCCTAAAATATTTACTACCTGGCTCTTTACAAAAAAGTTAACTAACCTCTCACATAGAGTGTACTTTGTGCCAGGCACTGTTATAAGTGATTTAGATGTATTGTCACCTATTATAAGACACACTCCTTAATCAGGATAGGGTACCTGTAAGACATTTAGATCATATAAAGAGCACTGAATTAGATTTCATAAGATGAGTTCTAGCCTTTGACAGAGTCTGTTTTCTCTGACTCTGTGTTCTATAGAAAAGGAATATTGAAAAAAAACCCTAATCCCCTCACTATAACCCATCTAAGCCTTAAAATGATAATTATAATGAATATCTTACTGTATTTTAA